GCTACTATTACTAAAGCTATAGGAAGGAATGATACTTAAAAGTAGAAGAAAGAAATGGATTCAAAGTACTAGAGTCTCATTGACAATAAGATTTGGATTTTGACACCATTACTAGCAAATAAAAAATCAATTGATTGCAAATAGATTTTCAAGATCAAATATAATACAGATGGATTAGTAGAGCACTATAAGGCAAGAATCATTGCAAAAGTTTATGCACAAAAAGAAGATATTGATTACAATAAGATTTTTTCTCTAATGACAAAAATAACTTCAATTTGTATACTTCTGTACTAGCTATAATTGAAGATTAAGAAGATCATCAAATGGATATCAAGATAGCATTTTTGAATAGAGATCTTAAAGAGAAGATATATACAAACCAACTAAAAGGCTATATATAAAAAGATGAAGAATGATTGATTTATAAATTTTCTAAAACTCTCTATGGGCTCAAATAATTTTCTAAGACATAGTACAAGAAGATAGATGATTATTTTGTCTCACAAAATTTAAAAAGAAGCTATGCCAATCTTACTATTTATGTATTATGGACAATTGGTGGATTCTTCATCATTAATGTATTCTATGTGAATGACTTAATTTTTATATCTAATAACAAGGAACTTCTCTTAAAAACAAAAAAAAAAAAATTAATTGAGAGGTTTGAGATAAAGGATTTAAAAGAAATCTATTATATTTTAGATATACAAATTATGAAGAATCAAAAGATTTGTAAAATATACCTCAATTAGTAAAAATATATAGAAAACATCTTTGAAAGATTTGGCATAAAAGATTGTAAATCTTTGACTATACCTTTGGATTTTAACAATAAATTGACAAGAGACATGAATCTACAGATTTGTGAAAAAGTTGAAGCAATGAAGAAGATTCCATACCAAAATGCAATTTGCAGTTTAGTATATGCAATGATAGGTACTTAGGCCAATATTCCTTACCTAAAGGGAGTTGTTAGCCAATATATGGCAAATCCTAGCCCACAACATTGGATAGTAGTAAAATACATTTTGTGATATTTTTAAGGCACATTAGATCACATGCTATAATATGGTCAAAGCTCTTAAAGTTTACAGGTAGTTTATTAGTATAATGCACACTATGCAAGAGATATTGATATAAAATATTCAACCATTTATTATACATTCTTGTTGGCTAGTGGTGAAATTAATTGGAATAGTAAGAAGCAACCTGCAATGATATTATCTACTACTTAAGCAAAGTATATGGCAGCTATTCATGCTGTAAAAGAGACAATTTTACTTCAAAGGTTTCTTAAAGAAATTAGATTTTTATAAGGCAATCCTTTGATTATTTTCAATGATAACCAAAGTTCCATTTTACTTTCAAGGAATCCTACATTCTATACTTAGACCAAGTATGTTGAAGTTCAACATCATTTTGTTTGTGAAAAGATTGAAAGTGGCAATATCAACTTAGTTTTTTACAAGATTTAAAATATCATTGTAAATGTTTTGATTAAAGGTCTAACTCGTGAGAAACATTGTAAATTCAAGAAGATAATGGACATCATCAAATTAAGTTAGTCTAATATATCATTAGCTAAGAGTGTTAATAGAATATATATAACTCTTATTAGACATAATGTAGAATGGACAATTGACATCACTATACCAGTTGACAAGTTGTAGCTACCATTTGTTGGTAGTAATACTACTTTGCCGCCATAGCCTACGAAGCCGTCATATAGCCTAACAAGATGAGTGTCTATATGTTAATTGGACATTACTGACTATGCTAGTTGTTTATATTTTTACACTAGAAAGTCTATGTGGTTAGACATTAGACTAGTGATATAAGAATTCAAACTAAAAGTTCATTTTGAATAAGTAATTTTAATGTTATTTTCTTTACATATTTGTACTTCTATTCTAGCAATATACATCCTCATATTTTATTACAAATAAAAGAAGTGTCTACCAAATAATTTCTATTATTTGTTGTTATTATTATTATTATTTCTAAAATTAAAAAATTTATAGTATTTTTGTATACAATTAGAATATAAATAAATTTTTGTTATAATATACATTAAAAATATAAATGATGAAAAAAAATTATAGTTTTGTGAAACATGTTTTTATGTATAGTATTAAAATAATTTGAAAAGATAAAATTGAAAACATGCATTCTATTTCATAATCATCTTCAAAATTTTAAAACTATATAAAATATTTTTCTACCAAAACTCATTATTCAATTAAAATTTTAATTCACAAAATATAAAAGCAATACTAAAATTCATTATTCAATTGAAAGATTAATTCACAAAATGTAAAAGCAATACTGAAATTCATTATTCAATTGAAAGATTAATTCACCGAATGTATAAACAACTTTTTGATTAATAAGAACATTCATCTATGTTAAAGTAGAACCTAATTAATATGCTACCTTCTTATTTTATAAGCTTCAATTAGAATTTCATCCATTATCATGAACAAAACAAGAAGAGACTCTACAGCCTAGATAGTAGAAGCCAATGCTATTGTTGTGGCTTTTGCCTCATATTTGTGCATAATTCAAGGAGCTCACCATAATAGTATGCCTTGCAATAAGATCTAGTGAGATTTTAAAATACTATTGAAATGTAATTTTGGCAATTCTGATGTTATTGTTGAAGACTTTGTGGTATGTTATCATGTTGATGCACTATTTATGAATGTAAGACAATCAATAGTATCCTCTAAAGTTGGCATTGCATATTGATTTGTAAGTTTGTGGAATGAAGTTATACCAAGTAACTTTAATAATTTGGTTTTATTTTTATCTTTTTTAAGTCTCTATATGGACTTATCAAGAGTTTATATAAGAATGTCTACTACATAGTGGTAATTGTTGATGAAGGTGAGTTGATTCTCAATTTTGTTTTATCCTAGTTTTTATCTTTTTTTAAATGACGTAATCCAATATTGAATAATTTAGAGGTTTTTTAACAAAATTTTGACTCATGCATAGAAAACATAATATAATTGCATTGCAACCAACAAAATTTATATTTTGCAAAAAAGTTATCAATTAATTATAGTATATGCTTTAAAATTTTGACAACTTGTGATTAATATTAAATGAGATGATGTTGCTCTTATCAATCAATTTTTCTATCAATTATAATAATTAGTTTTTAAAATTTTGTTAGAGAGTTGCATTAGTTGATTTCAATATTTTTACAATTCAAAGGCAACACCAAAGTCTTCTCAATATATATATTTAAAAATAGAAGACATACAAATTGGCATCATATAATTTAAATTTCTTACTAAACAAGAAAAAATTCATCATTATAAAGATGGAATTTTACTTATACTATAAAGTACTTAAGTACACTACTCAACATCGCCTAAAGAAGTAATATAACTATTAAATAAAGAATATAGCTATTAAAAAAGATAGTGTATCAAAAAACAAATTTGTTCAATTGCAATAGAAACTATACAGTTAGAATCTAATATAACAATATTACACATTTTATTTCAAGAAGCTCTCTAATAATAACACAATAGAAAAAAAAAATGTCTAGTATCACTAAAGACCAATAAAAGAAAAGACTTTTGAATAATGATTTTTTTGAGAACAATATCAATTTAAAAGTAAGTAATCCACAACTTCTAATATGCTAATGTCTCATGAAGAAAAAATAGTAATCCGCTTTTAATCAAAAAATAGATAAAGCTTTGATATTATAAATATATTACTTCTAATTTGTTAAAAATTACAAGAATATAAATAAATAAGTGAGATATTTTTTGAAAAAAATTACAAAAATAAATAAATATGTATATTCAAGAAAAAATTGGAATAGCTTTTTCCAAAGATTATGAAAGTAGAGATTCTTGAAACTAGATTAAAAACAAGAAATGAAATGACAAGAGTGAAGAAGGCTTCTCTCTAGTATCTATATATTCTACCTAACGAAGAGTTATGTAGCAATACTTTAAAGACTTCTAACATATATCTAACTTGCAAGATAATTTTTTTGCATGTGTACTACATGGCCAACTTCTATCACAAGTCATCAATATGTGCAATATATGGCCAACTTGTTGGCTAAAATTTCAACCTAGTAATTACATGTAGACACATATAAAAGCAAAGTCGCATCTTTGAAGCTTTTAAGAAGCTTATTTACAAGATATCGGTAATTTTATTTAATTTTATATACTTTTATTTTTGATACTATCTAAATAATTATTGGAATAAAATATATGTCTTTGTAACATGATTTGAATAAAAAATTAGAAAATATATCAGTTTTTAAATTTTTCTTTTGATAATAAAGGTGTAATAATATTTGTGGAAGAAAATAAGATTTAAGAACCAAACTATGATTAGCTTTGAACCTTTAGAAAAATAATTCATGATAATGCAATTCTTTATATAAAAAACATGAAGATATTGTGGCTTTTTATAATAAGTAGATGTTTTTGAACTATCTATTTACAAGCTAAGATGTTTTTTTCAACTATGTAATTTATTAAAATTAAAAATTGTATATAATATTAGAATACAAAATTTAAGTATATAATCAATAAAAACTTATATGTTTATATGATAAAATAATTTAACAAAAACTTTTAATACTAAATTTAAAATCATTTTGATAGATATTATATTTAGACATTGATATCTTCAAAAATAGAATAAGATAATTACAATTTTTTATTATCTTGTTAAACTTTTTATTACCTTGTTTAAATTTTAATTGCATATAAATTTCTAATATAAACAAAAAAAATTAAAACATCTAAAAATATTAAATATTATCTTATCCAAAAAAAAAATCCTTCAAAACACTCTTTCTTTCTTTTCAACTAAAAGCTTATTAAAAAGAAAATGTAAAATATTATAATTTCTTACATTTCAAATCTATGTTTAAATCATGTTATATGTGAATTTTATTTTAAATTATTTAGAACATTAAACTACATGAGTGATGTAATTGTTCTCAAACCACAAAGTGTTAAAAATGGGAAATTCATAACTTCAATTGATTGACACGGTTGTGACATATTTTAAGTATGCATATTAAAACTAAAAGACTTTCCGATTTCTATCGTAAGAGCACAAAATAAACTCCATCAAAACTTAAATTATTATTGTCTTTTGTTTTTTCCAGACATTCTAATCACAACATAAAATAGAAATCTAAACACAAAACCAAATCCAATTGTAATTCCAAAGCATTTCCACTTGCTTAGTTCCGAAATCTCTTTTGCATGTAGAACATCCTGTCCAGTTAAAATGCATGATGTTGGATACAACTCCGCATGCGGTGTATGTTGTAACGTGGGTGATAACCGAAGATAATGGAGCAATTCGCTCACAACACTTTCATCTAAATCAGCCATTGGAGTACCCTCAAATATCTGTTGTCCAGTTTGAAAGCATGATTTGCTACTCTCGAATTCGTTGATCAAAATCGCTTCATATGGGTACTTGATGATTGAAATATAATGGAACCATCTCCAATACCAAGGAATTCGCAGCCTTGAGATGAAAAACCCACTTAATAGAAGAAAGTACGCGAGCACTGCCACAGTCACTGTGTACCCAAGCATAACGTTGGGCATGACAGCAGACAACAGAGTCACGAAAGAATTACCTGCCCAGAATGATGCCCACACAATGAGAAAAAAGAAAAGAAAGCCGGGGCCTCCACCTGCTAAACCCACTGCCCACCAGATGATGACGCTGTATGCCATAGCCAAGATGGCAAGAAATGGTACATAAATGATAGCATGTGCTAGAACGTATGAGGACTTCCGGTACGCATTAGTTGCTGTTTCCCTCAGGAATATAAACCGCTCTTGAAGGAAAACTGGCAGTGCATCTGCACAGGTATAATATGTTGTTGACATTGCAAATGCGAGGAATCCTAATCGTTCCTGCCACAATCATATTTCACTAATGTTACATCAGATTTACGCTTCATCTTGTTTACAGAAAACTCCGATCATCAATGCAATTCACGAAACTGGAGATGGATCCAGTTGCAGGAATACCTGGACACCTAAAGGACTGTGATCAAGATGCCAGAAGATGGTGGCAAGAATAAAACCAGTCACCATGACTGTGGATAGTCGCAACAGAAAAAGTTCCGGAGTTCTGTTAATGTTCTTCAAAGACCGCCTAACCAATACCATAATTTCAGCCCAGCAGGGATTTGCAAATTCCATGTCTGAATTCATTTTGAGACGCCATGCTTTTTCCTCCATCGTCGATGTTTCATTGGATTGGTTGGTGGAAAGCAACTCGTTATTTAACAGAACACCTGATATTGATGCACTGACTTCTGAAGATTCTACGATGGAAACCGATGGATTCGATTTCTCTTCCCAAATTATGCGGAATTCAACTAATTGCTTGATTCCATCCTGCGTTGACGAATCATGAACACCTCCAGATCATTGCTGTACCTTCCAAGGAAATTTTTATCAAATCTTTAAACGATACTTTTCTTAATACTTATTTTTTAATCCTTAATTTATTGAAGAAAATTTGAGACAGATAAGTTGCGACTTACTTTAGACCCATGCAATTCCTGTATAAGGTCTAATGCATGTTCTGTGCAATTCTCGTGCTTTGGGACAGGGCGTCCAAATTGCTCGAAGTATTGGTTAAGATCCTTCGGTGAGCCACCAAAAATTTTTTGACCGAAGGCCAGTATAATTAAGCGGTCAAAGAGGCCCATAATTCGATAGCTTGGTTGATGTATCGATAGCACGACCAAACTTCCCGTTTTTGCAATACTTTGGAGTGTGCGCACCTGAGAAGTCGATCAAATTCATGAACTCGTTAAATATGTCTTTCACTGTTTGAAAGTTTAGAAGCAAAACCGCTCATAAAGAATGTAGGTGGTTATTGGGTTTAAAGAGACCCTTCTGGTGCATATCCTACAAGAAAATGGTCATCTTACCACCAGATAAGCACTTGTGGAATCCAACCCTGATGTCGGCTCGTCCAAGAACAAAATGAGAGGGTCATGGATGATGTCAATACCAATTGAGACACGGCGCCTTTCACCTCCAGAGACACCGCGGTGGCCTTCATCTCCGATAATTGTGTTTGCAACTCTCAGTAGACCGAGTTGATTCAACAAATTGGAAACCCGAGCTTTCTTGACCGCCTTTGATTGAGATGGCGGCAACCGAAAAAATGCTGCAAAAAGGAGTGTTTCTTTGACTGTAAGCATTGGATATAGTAGGTCGTCCTGCAAGGATCCAAAGGGTCTTATTACTGTTTTCCAACGGCTGGTAAATAGTCCAAAGCCAAACTGAACAATCTTTCAAGCAAAACATCAATGGTTTCACGAAACAAGAAAAAATAATTCTTCATCTTTAAGATACGATTCGTGATTCTCCAGCATCGTCCACACCTGCATAACGTAGGCCGAAATGTTCCTAAGCAAACGTTCGCTGAACTGATTGCCATTCAGTGTCATGCTGCCTGTCACAGCGTCAATCCTCTGCGCAAGTGCATCAATGAGCGTAGATTTTCCGGAGCCGCTGGGTCCCATTACGGCCAGAATTTCGCCACCTTTAGCCTCTCCTGAAATTCCATCCAATAAGCGCAGTGGCTTGGGCGCTGGTTGTTTGAGACCTGGCAAGAACATCCCCTGAAAACGTTGCCACCGGGATTGCTTTTTACATACAGTATAAGTGAGGTCACTGAAGTGTAGATATAATTTTTGCGATGGCTTGTCAGCATCCTGAGAGGTTCTAGCTACCTCTATAACCTTATGCGATCCCTCCGGAGATACGACAAACATGTCCGAATTCTTCAGTTGCTCCTCAAACGCCGAACGTCGTGAAGTTCGTTGAGGAGGCCCACTTGAGCCTGGATCCGAGTACCTCCCCTCGGTGACACGAGAACTGAGTCCGTTGATCCCAACAGCTTCGGGAGAACTCAAGAGTGTCTGCGACGATCCCTTAAAATCAGGTGAAGCTACAAACGGCTCCAGTCGGGTCTCACGCAGAGCCTGTGCTTCTTTTTCCAATAACTTAAAGCTCTCTTTAAACTCTTTCCTGCGAGGAACTTTAGGCTTCCGTAGCGGTTCCGTCATGTCGAGAAATTCTTGCAGTGGCGAGTCTTTGAACAGTTCGTTTATTACTAACTCGTCCAAGTTATTGCAAATAGTAGTTTCGGAGCTAATGCTCTGAAGATGCCACTATCCACATAATGTGTAATTTTGTTAAATCATTCTCGAGTGGTGAGCGGATAACGTCATTACTTAATTTGAGAATCACTCTGTCCTAAGAGAACATAGCCATCACATACCCTGCACATCGTCAACTTGTAACATCACACCGATAAGCTCACAGACGCGAGGAAAACCGAGAACCAAGTGACCTTCGTCGTCGACGACTACTACGCAGTGGACATTCTCACACCAACTCTCGACAAGTGCGAACAGAGGCTTGGATAACACAGGAAAACCGAATTTTGGGAGTCACACGGCGCAACTACCTTCGACAGCCTCACAATCCGGCATACAATGGCAATATTAGAGGAGACTGTTGACTGCACGCATTAACAAACAGTGCAACAACATGGCAACAGACCACAAAGACTTCGGAAACAAAGTCCGACTTCGCCGAATTACACTTCAACAGTGTTTTCAAACCGGGCTACAGCTCGTTGCAACGCATACTGCTGTGGAGGGCTGCTTGAATTGTGCGCAACGTGAGGCAGAGCCAAGAACAACGACACCAGCCTCGGCCATCCAGGCTGTAGAGTCTCTTCTTGTTCTGCTCATGACGACCAATAGAACCCTAATTCAAGCTTACAATATAAGAAGGTACCACACTAATTAGGGCTAACATGGATAAATGATCTTATTTGATTAAGGAGTTGTTTTCACAATTGGTGAATCAATGTTTCAATCAAATAATGAGTTTAGGTGGAAGAATATTTCACATGGTTTCAATGGTTTGAGGATGATTATGAAGTGGAATGCATGCTAACAATGTTTTTTTTTCAAAGTACACTAATACTACAAATGGAAACAGATTTGACAATATTGCAATTTTTTTAATCATTTTATATATTCCATGTATGTTGTAAAAACAATTTATTTATATCCTTGTTGTGTGCAAAAATTACTGTGAATTTTTTAAATTCAAAAAAAAATAAGAAGAAGAACAATAATAACAAATAATAGGAATTGCTAGGTGGCACCTCTTTTATGACATAGATACCTTCTTGTGCCACGCACACTTGCATATGCATAATAATATGATTGATATATCATATAACTTTAAAATTAATATCAAAAGTAACATGATATAGCAATGATATACTTATTAAGTTTGTAAAAATTAAGTATATGCCTATGTACAAATATTACAAAAATATTAAGTAGAAAATATTTTTTAAAATTAAACTTTGAGGTATTATCATTGTCATAGCATATTAATTTAAAAATAATATTATAAAACAATAACATTATTATGTGTATATAAGGATGCATGGCACAGAGACCTCTCCACACATTATAAGAAGGGTGTCTACCAAGCCATTATCTAAAAATTATTCTGATGTATTCAATAATATTAAAACTTAAAATACAAAGTATCATGGTTTGATTGTCATTATTTTATAATTAATTCAACATTAAAATTAAAAAAAAAATTAAAAAAAAAACTCAATAAGAGCTACAAATCAAAGAAAATATGTATAAATAGACAATATTATAGCATGTGATCGGATTAGCCTTAAAAATATCACAAAATATATCACAAAATGTATCACAAAAATATCACATCTTAGAATGTAAATAGATAGTTCAAAAACATCTACTTATTATAAAAAGCCACAATATCTTCATGTTTTTTATATAAAGAATTGCATTATCATGAATTATTTTTCTAAAGGTTCAAAGCTAATCATAGTTTGGTTCTTAAATCTTATTTTCTTCCACAAATATTATTACACCTTTATTATCAAAAGAAAAATTTAAAAACTGATATATTTTCTAATTTTTTATTCAAATCATGTTACAAAGACATATATTTTATTCCAATAATTATTTAGATAGTATCAAAAATAAAAGTATATAAAATTAAATAAAATTACCGATATCTTGTAAATAAGCTTCTTAAAAGCTTCAAAGATGCGACTTTGCTTTTATATGTGTCTACATGTAATTACTAGGTTGAAATTTTAGCCAACAAGTTGGCCATATATTGCACATATTGATGACTTGTGATAGAAGTTGGCCATGTAGTACACATGCAAAAAAATTATCTTGCAAGTTAGATATATGTTAGAAGTCTTTAAAGTATTGCTACATAACTCTTCGTTAGGTAGAATATATAGATACTAGAGAGAAGCCTTCTTCACTCTTGTCATTTCATTTCTTGTTTTTAATCTAGTTTCAAGAATCTCTACTTTCATAATCTTTGGAAAAAGCTATTCCAATTTTTTCTTGAATATACATATTTATTTATTTTTGTAATTTTTTTCAAAAAATATCTCACTTATTTATTTATATTCTTGTAATTTTTAACAAATTAGAAGTAATATATTTATAATATCAAAGCTTTATCTATTTTTTGATTAAAAGCGGATTACTATTTTTTCTTCATGAGACATTAGCATATTAGAAGTTGTGGATTACTTACTTTTAAATTGATATTGTTCTCAAAAAAATCATTATTCAAAAGTCTTTTCTTTTATTGGTCTTTAGTGATACTAGACATTTTTTTTTTCTATTGTGTTATTATTAGAGAGCTTCTTGAAATAAAATGTGTAATATTGTTATATTAGATTCTAACTGTATAGTTTCTATTGCAATTGAACAAATTTGTTTTTTGATACACTATCTTTTTTAATAGCTATATTCTTTATTTAATAGTTATATTACTTCTTTAGGCGATGTTGAGTAGTGTACTTAAGTACTTTATAGTATAAGTAAAATTCCATCTTTATAATGATGAATTTTTTCTTGTTTAGTAAGAAATTTAAATTATATGATGCCAATTTGTATGTCTTCTATTTTTAAATATATATATTGAGAAGACTTTGGTGTTGCCTTTGAATTGTAAAAATATTGAAATCAACTAATGCAACTCTCTAACAAAATTTTAAAAACTAATTATTATAATTGATAGAAAAATTGATTGATAAGAGCAACATCATCTCATTTAATATTAATCACAAGTTGTCAAAATTTTAAAGCATATACTATAATTAATTGATAACTTTTTTGCAAAATATAAATTTTGTTGGTTGCAATGCAATTATATTATGTTTTCTATGCATGAGTCAAAATTTTGTTAAAAAACCTCTAAATTATTCAATATTGGATTACGTCATTTAAAAAAAGATAAAAACTAGGATAAAACAAAATTGAGAATCAACTCACCTTCATCAACAATTACCACTATGTAGTAGACATTCTTATATAAACTCTTGATAAGTCCATATAGAGACTTAAAAAAGATAAAAATAAAACCAAATTATTAAAGTTACTTGGTATAACTTCATTCCACAAACTTACAAATCAATATGCAATGCCAACTTTAGAGGATACTATTGATTGTCTTACATTCATAAATAGTGCATCAACATGATAACATACCACAAAGTCTTCAACAATAACATCAGAATTGCCAAAATTACATTTCAATAGTATTTTAAAATCTCACTAGATCTTATTGCAAGGCATACTATTATGGTGAGCTCCTTGAATTATGCACAAATATGAGGCAAAAGCCACAACAATAGCATTGGCTTCTACTATCTAGGCTGTAGAGTCTCTTCTTGTTTTGTTCATGATAATGGATGAAATTCTAATTGAAGCTTATAAAATAAGAAGGTAGCATATTAATTAGGTTCTACTTTAACATAGATGAATGTTCTTATTAATCAAAAAGTTGTTTATACATTCGGTGAATTAATCTTTCAATTGAATAATGAATTTCAGTATTGCTTTTACATTTTGTGAATTAATCTTTCAATTGAATAATGAATTTTAGTATTGCTTTTATATTTTGTGAATTAAAATTTTAATTGAATAATGAGTTTTGGTAGAAAAATATTTTATATAGTTTTAAAATTTTGAAGATGATTATGAAATAGAATGCATGTTTTCAATTTTATCTTTTCAAATTATTTTAATACTATACATAAAAACATGTTTCACAAAACTATAATTTTTTTTCATCATTTATATTTTTAATGTATATTATAACAAAAATTTATTTATATTCTAATTGTATACAAAAATACTATAAATTTTTTAATTTTAGAAATAATAATAATAATAACAACAAATAATAGAAATTATTTGGTAGACACTTCTTTTATTTGTAATAAAATATGAGGATGTATATTGCTAGAATAGAAGTACAAATATGTAAAGAAAATAACATTAAAATTACTTATTCAAAATGAACTTTTAGTTTGAATTCTTATATCACTAGTCTAATGTCTAACCACATAGACTTTCTAGTGTAAAAATATAAACAACTAGCATAGTCAGTAATGTCCAATTAACATATAGACACTCATCTTGTTAGGCTATATGACGGCTTCGTAGGCTATGGCGGCAAAGTAGTATTACTACCAACAAATGGTAGCTACAACTTGTCAACTGGTATAGTGATGTCAATTGTCCATTCTACATTATGTCTAATAAGAGTTATATATATTCTATTAACACTCTTAGCTAATGATATATTAGACTAACTTAATTTGATGATGTCCATTATCTTCTTGAATTTACAATGTTTCTCACGAGTTAGACCTTTAATCAAAACATTTACAATGATATTTTAAATCTTGTAAAAAACTAAGTTGATATTGCCACTTTCAATCTTTTCACAAACAAAATGATGTTGAACTTCAACATACTTGGTCTAAGTATAGAATGTAGGATTCCTTGAAAGTAAAATGGAACTTTGGTTATCATTGAAAATAATCAAAGGATTGCCTTATAAAAATCTAATTTCTTTAAGAAACCTTTGAAGTAAAATTGTCTCTTTTACAGCATGAATAGCTGCCATATACTTTGCTTAAGTAGTAGATAATATCATTGCAGGTGCTCTA